AGAGGGGTAGAGAAGGAAAGAGGTTGTGAGAATGACCTCAACAATAAACAACAAAAGGAGTTGGAGGGGCTGTTGTCCAAATATGAGGGCATTTTCAAAGAACCCAAGGGGCTACCTCCAAGGAGAGAGAAGGAGCATGTTATCAATTTGAAGGAAGGACATGAAGCTGTCAATGTGAGACCTTATAGATACCCCTACCATCACAAGAATGAAATAGAAAAACAGGTGAAAGAGTTGCTGGCTGCAGGTGTGGTAAGGCCCAGCACAAGTTCTTTCTCGAGTCCGGTGATTCTTGTCAAAAAGAAAGATGGCTCCTGGAGGATGTGCATCGATTATAAGGCTCTTAACAAAGCTACAATTCCAGATAAGTTTCCCATTCCTGTGATAGAGGAGTTGCTTGAAGAGCTCCATGGGGCAACAATTTTCTCTAAGTTGGATCTGAAGTCTGGATACCATCAAGTGAGAGTGCACGAAGAAGATGTTCATAAAACGGCCTTTCGCACCCATGAAGGACACTACGAGTTCTTAGTCATGCCATTCGGACTAATGAACGCACCTTCCACATTTCAAAGCTTGATGAATGAGGTATTTCGAGTACAATTGAGAAAATTTGTGTTGGTATTCTTTGACGACATTCTTGTGTACAGTAGAGATTGGAGTACTCATGTAGGTCACTTGGAAGAAGTGTTAAACATTCTACAGAAGCATGGTTTAGTGGCTAATAGAAAGAAGTGTCACTTTGCACAAAAATCTGTGGATTATTTGGGACATGTGATCTCGGGGGAGGGGGTTGCTGTAGATCCTAATAAAGTTGAAAGTGTAATGAAGTGGCCAATCCCAAAGAATGTAAAAGGGGTGAGGGGGTTTTTGGGATTAATCGGCTACTACCGTAAATTTATAAGGAACTATGGGAAAGTAGCTAGGCCTTTGACAAAACTGACAAAGAAAGATGCGTTTAAATGGGATGAAGAGATGCAAAAGGCATTTGAGAAACTGAAGGAAAGCCTTACAACAGCTCCGGTTCTGACCCTCCCTGATTTCTCTAAAGAATTCACTATAGAATGTGATGCATCGGGTATCGGAATTGGGGCTATATTGATGCAGAATAAGAAACCTGTTGCATACGAAAAGGAGCTGATGGCAGTGGTTTTGGCCATCCAACATTGGAGACCCTACTTGTTGGGAAGACGTTTCACTGTGTCCACAGATCAAAAGAGCCTCAAGCAACTTCTACAGTAGAGGATTGTAACAGCTGAGCAGCAGAACTGGGCTGCAAAACTGTTAGGGTTTGATTTTAACATCGTTTACAAGCCTGGAAAATTAAACAGGGGTGCAGACGCGTTATCCAGAGTTCATGAGGGAGGAGAAGTATGTGCATTGACTACTAATTTGCAATGGAAGGATGCTGACATTCTGAAAGAAGAATGTGCCAAAGACCCTCACCTTCAGAAGATAGTTTATGATTTACAAAGGGATAAAAACTCTAGGCCAGGTTTTGTCATCAAACAAGGGGTGTTGTTATACGAAGGAAGGTTGGTAATCTCAAGTAAATCAGTGTTAATTCCTACTCTGTTGAAGGAATTCCATGACACCTCTCAAGGAGGACATTCTGGATTTTATAGAACCTACAGAAGATTGGCTGCAAATGTATACTGGGTGGGCATGAAGAATAGTATACAAGAGTTTGTGAGAAGTTGTGATATCTGCCAACGCCAGAAATACTTAGCCAGTGCGCCGGGAGGGTTGCTGCAACCTCTTCCTATACCTGACAGAATCTGGGAAGACATTTCCATGGACTTCATCACAGGATTGCCCAAATCAAAGGGGTTTGAAGCCATTTTAGTGGTAGTTGATCGATTATCAAAGTACTGCCATTTCATTGCTCTAAAACACCCATACACCGCCAGAACAATAGCAGAGGTATTTGTAAGAGAAATTGTTAGGCTTCATGGTGTTCCACTATCAATTGTGAGTGATAGGGACCCCATCTTCATGAGTAACTTCTGGAGGGAAATGTTTAAATTACAGGGGACCAAGCTTAAGATGAGTAGTGCCTACCATCCTGAATCTGATGGTCAGACCGAAGTGGTTAACAGGTGTCTGGAGACTTACCTAACGTGCTTCATAGCTGACCAGCCAAAAACATGGATGTACTGGATTCCTTGGGCAGAATATTGGTTCAACACCACTTACCATGCTTCAACAGGAAAAACCCCCTTTGAGATAGTTTATGGTAGGACTCCTCCAACCATTGTCCGATGGATCCAAGGAGAAGTTAGAGTGGAGACAGTACAAAATGAGTTGTTAGATAGGGATGAAGCTATCAGACAACTAAGAGCTCACTTATTAAGAGCCCAAGATAGAATGAAACATTTTGCTGATAAGAAAAGATGTGACAGAAGCTTTTCCATAGGGGAATGGGTGTTTGTCAAACTAAGAGCTCATAGGCAGAAATCAGTGGTATCACGTATTAATGCTAAGCTGGCAGCAAAATACTTTGGTCCTTACCCAGTGGTGGAGCGCATAGGAGCAGTGGCCTATAAACTAAAGCTGCCGGAAGATTCCCGCGTGCATCCAGTGTTTCATGTGTCATTGTTGAAGAAAGCTGTTGGGTCATACCATGTTGAGGAGTCCTTGCCCGATGATTTGGAAGGTGATAAGGACAACAATTATGAACCTGACACAGTCTTAGCACACAGAACTGTTCAAGTACAGGGAGAGGGGGTGAGGCAGGTCTTAGTACAATGGAAAGGACGAAACAGGGAAGAGGCCACATGGGAAGATGTAGTGATGTTGACAAGTCAGTTCCCAAATTTTAGCCTTGAGGACAAGGCAGCAATTTCAGGAGGGGATGTTGTTAGGACTGATGTGGGATCTAGTGGGTCAAGAGGAGGAGTGGGGCCCAATACATCATCAACCAATCATGAGGTGGGACCTAGAGAATGGAAGGTATATTCTAGAAGGGGTAAGAGGGTCACAAAAGAATAGTTGTACTGGACACGTGGGGGAGAGAGGATTGAACTAGCAACTACTTTGCTGAATATAAGGAGTGTGAGTGATATGGAGAGAGCACCTTGAATTCTGTTAGTTGTAAGAATGAATAGGCAGCAGTAGCTTGCCTATAGGAGCTTCAGCTCTGTGTCAGAATCTAGAAATTATTTCCTCTCATTCTGTAATTCTCCATTATTGACATAATAAAGCTCATTGTTTCCTTTTTTCACTGTTTTATTCCTTCTGTTTCTGCTATTTTCATTTTCTGGTTCCTAACAGCTTCCAAATCCAATGCATGTGGCATTATCTTCTGACGCAGTTGATCTAAGCTTTAATCTTCTTGAAGGACAGGTTCCTGTTACAATGCCTGACGTCAAGCTGCTAGATCTCTCACACAACAATCACTTTTCTGATGCTATCCCATCAAACATGTCAACAAATGAATCATGTGGGATTTCTATCCCTTTCCATAATCAACTCCAAGGAGAAATACCATTGTCTTTAGGAGAAATGTCCGTGTTACTGTCATTAATCTTTCAAACAACAACTTAAATGGAAGGATCCCTCCAAGCCTTGTAAATTGCTCGACTCTGGATGTACTAGACCTTGGGAATAATAGTCTGTTTGCGGCAATTCCAGATTCTTTGGGTCAGTTACAACTACTCAGGTCATCATTACACCTTAATGACAATCACTTTTCAGGTGATTTGCCATCATCTTTAAGAAATTTGTCAGTGTTAGAAACTATGGATCTTGGAAACAATGAACTGTCTGGTATTATTCCAGCATGGTTTGGGGAAGGTTTCAAATTTCTAAGAATTCTTATTTTGAGGTCTAATGCATTTTCTGGCAAATTGCCACCTGAACTTTCAAAATTAGGCTCGTTGCAAGTCCTCGACCTTTTGAGAAATGAGTTGACTGGAAGCACTCCAGCAAGCTTGGGTGATCTGAAAGCTATAACCGAAGTGCAGAAGAAAAATAAGTACTTACTGTATGGAGATTATGAAGGTCACTACTATGAAGAAAGTTTGAATGTGTATATAAAAGATCAAATATTAAAGTATACCAGGACTCTTTCCCTTGTTACTGGCATAGACCTTTCTGAAAATAACTTCACAGGAAATATTCTCATTGAAATTACAAAACTGTCTGGTTTGATGGTCCTCAACTTGTCAAGAAACCATATAACCGGACAAATTCCAGAAACCATATCAAATTTGCATCAACTAACATATCTTGATCTCTCAAGCAACCAACTTTCTGGCACAATTCCTTTAAGCATGCCTTCCTTGACATTTTTGGGGGGGCTAAACTTGTCCAACAACAACCTCTTGGGTGCTATACCTTACACAGGTCAAATGACAACCTTTGATGCATCTCCTAGTCTTTGTGGTCCTCCACTTCCTGTGAAGTGCTCAGGTCATGATAATGATGACTCTGAAAGTGGACAAAGAAATGAGGTGGAAAATGATAACTGGTTTTTGTTGAGTATAGGTTTGGGGTTTGCAACAGGCGTTTTAGCTCCTTATTTGATTTTAACAATGAAGAGATCATGGAGTGATGCCTATTTTAACTTTCTGGATCAAGTTGTTAACAAGTTCCTATTGAGGCTCCCACAACGACATGGAATAAATAAATGGCCAAAGGAGGAAGATATAATCATATATGAAGAAAAATATTTAGGATAATGTCTCCATTTTGATCATGAATATTTCTAAAAGAGCTTTTATATATGTGTTCTAAAATACCAACATGATGATTTCTGATTGGATGTCTGTGTAGTGTTTTTACAGTATCATACCATAGATTATAATTGTAAAATTATTGACAACCATGAGAGGTATTTATGCTAAGCTGAAACCTTTATTTCCAAGTGAAACTTCTGAAAAACAATTTAAAATCAAAAAAATATATAGAACATATGTTTTAACATGAGCCAAAAAGAAGAAGAATTGCATACAGATAGGTCTTGCCAATTCAGATGTGTAAATTGAGAAAATGAGTGTTGGTCAGGAGATATTTGCATTTTGCAAAGACTGGCATGCCACTGTGCCTACAGATGTACGCATTACATGGTCACCTAGCATCGCCGTACAAGAAACACCTGTCTTAAGATGAGGCTGCACCAATTCCCATATCTTTTTCTTTTGTATCTGCATGTTTGTTACACAAGAATGTTATGGCAATACAAGAGAATAAACCACACAAAATATCAAAGTTAAGAGAGGAAGAACATGTATAAAGTTTACAATCAAACAATAAAGTTGAGTTATTGCCTGATTCGGTTTGGCAGCTTCAGGTTGATTGTCCTTTTCATCTTCAGATCCAAACCATATTCTTTCACCAGGATTTGCTTCCTCAGGTGGGAACAGAAGTTCAACATTCTCATGCTTTGAATCAGAAGCAGCTATCAACATTCCACATGACTTGACACCACGCATATTCCTTGGCTTAAGATTTGAAAGAACAATAACTTTTTTTCCCTGCATTGTGCTTTACCATTTGTTATTTTGTACAGAAAAACACAAATATGGTTCATTCCAATAAAACAAGCTCAGAAACTCCTTAGGGGAGAGATATACCCTACAAGAAATTGAAATAAATAAATAAAATAAAAAAGAAACCTGAAGGTGTTCAAGAGGGATGTAATTGACAAGACCACTGCAAATGATTCTAGGTTCTGGCTCACCAATATCAACCTCTTCGACGTAAAGAGTTTCGGCTTCATCGTGTTTCCATGCCCTGAGAATGCGACCCACCCTTATGTCAAGCAACCCAGCAGCATCTTTAACACTCTTATCGTTTTCACCGTTGCTATTGGTTTCAGCAGCTATGCCTTCCGGGACTGGGTCGGAAGCAACAGTGCAAAATGAAGAAAACCCAGATGGGGTTTTGGGGCGTGAGGAAGATGAGAGTGAGAAAAAAGGGAACTTGGAAAGAAATGAACAGTGGGTTGTTGTTGTTCGGGAGAGTGTGGTGGCTCGTGAAGAGAAAAATGAGAGCATAACAACACTGCCACCCTTCAAAACGTTTGCCATTGTATGAGATGAGATGAGAAACAGAGAAAGACGGATTTCAATTTTCAATCCTTTGGAGAGTTTCGTAATCGTCATTCGTCCCTTCGGACCCGTGTCTTAAAATCCAGCGGGTGACCAAACATGTTAGAGAGCTCAAACTAAGTGGATGTCGGGTCGGGCCATTTCTGGTCAAATTACATGGAGGTTGATCAATCAATATTTTGAAATAGGCAATTATTTTTTATCTTTTGATGTTCCTTACCGTCGTAAAAAGTCACAATTATCCTTAAGCATCTTTGAACGAATATTTTATATATTTTTTAGCACAAATTGTATTAAGATTACAAAATTGACAACATTACATACAAAAGACCAGTTACATTGTTAGATTAAAACTAAAATGTATCAAAACATGTGTCACTACCTAAATTTATTGATGATGCCTTCTTTGACCTTTCCTTATTTAATTTCATTTCAACATCGCTCAACTTTATGAACTCCTCCATCCTTTCCAAAGAGTGATTCAGCCAAATTTGAGCATCTTGGGTGAAATATGTCGTCCTCTCTTGTGATGTTTTTGGTATAGGACATTCTAGTTTCAAATAAACCTGAACAAAATATTGTGTTTTTGAAAGCCACTAAATATACATGATGTGTCTTGATGGATTTTGAGGTGGCATACTCCGAAGTAGAAAAAATGTTTCCGAAAAACCATATTGTATTAATTCAATACACACTATATCATAAGCACTTGCTATAAGATTTCTCATTTTCTGATACCATACAAGAATGATGTTTTGGTGTTAAAAGTTGATTGAGAATGAAAGAAATCTTTTTAAGGGTTTTGAAATGAAGTTTAGTTTCAGCATGAAGAAGAAGATCATGCAAGGTGGTGTTTTATCTAATTTTCTGCTTGACATTTCCAAATACGCATCTCCAGAAACATCACTAAGTTGTTAATTAAATCATCTTAATGAATAAAAACACCATAATTCAGCACATATGATAATTCACATATGCATCGCCAAATAGAATATAGATATGCATCTCTGGACTATTTTTTGTTCAAAATAGGTGGATCTCAAAAAGACACAGTCTGATGTGATTGTAGGTGTGTCCGGAGATGCATCTCTAGACAAATGAATGACATTTTGGGTTTTCAGAGGTGTGAGGCGCACCTTAAGGGTGGAAAAAGCATTTCCCTTAAAATATTGAGGGTTGTTTTTCCCACCCTTAGTGGTGAAAAGTCACTTTTTGGAAACTTGAAAGTGCCCCTTTTAATTCTAGAAGTACATCTTCGGACGCACCTATTATCACCAAAATATATTCTAAGTGAAACACACACCTATTTTGCTAAAATTAGTCCAAAAGTTGTTAGAACACAGATTGGTTCTTAATTATATCTCTATGTTTTAATGATAACTCTTATGAAATTTTGTATTAAAGAATTATATACTCTAAAAATTATTTAAGATTGTTTGCTGCAGATATTAAAGTGTATATCAATCTGGAAGCAAATTAGATTTGAACATGAAAAATATGCAAGGCTCTGAAGCGTCAGAAGCATCTGTTAGAAGATTCTGAACGCTGCCCACAGAAGATTCTGAGCGCTGTCTACAGAAGAATCTGAAGCAGAAGCCAGAAGCATCTGAAGCATTGAAGAATTCTGCATGAAGAGTTTCAAGCTTAGTTTATTTCAGAAGACTCTGATAGTACTAACGCTGCCAGTACTGAGGATCTGATCCCAAACTCTGCTCTGAACAATTACACGCTGAAAGCACACATGTTGCAAAGACTCTGATTCAGCATACTCTGATGAACATCAGAAGACTCTAACCCATCTAGACTCTGATGATACTTTGCTGAAACTTGTTGAAGAAGAATTCAAAGTTATGTCCGTTGGAATGGCCAAACGACTCTTTCCTCATTTATGTTAGACACAAGAACACAGACAAAAAGGATTTCTCTGTGCATTCTACTTCTAGGAAAGGTCATGTGATGTGAAGATAAAAAGGCTCAGACCTTTTAGTACACAGCCCTCAACGTAATAGCTATTTGGACCTCTGTGCCTATAAAAGCAAGACTCCATCCATCTTCTTCAGTTGACGAAACATTGAAAGAATTCAAAGAAAGCTCTCATACAATTTATTCTCATTAGCTGAATTTATTTCATAGTTCTTAAATCTTAAGTGATAAATCACAGTTGTGATATAGCTTTATTAGAAGCAATTTAAACACTTGTATTATTCTTACATTTGATCGTAAAAGATCCTTAAGAAGATCCAGTTGGGATCAGTAATTCTTAAGAAGACTAAGATCAGTTGCTCTTAGTGCTTGCTATTGTAATCAGTTGATTTAATAGTGGATTAAGTCCTTGTTTGAGAAAGGCAAATCACTCTTGATAGGGTGGACTGAAGTAGTTGAGTTCAACGAACCAGGATAAAAATCCTTGAGTTTTTATTGCTATAAGTTTTTCTATATACTTATTCAACCCCCCCTTCTAAGTATTTTCTCACCTTCAGTTGGCATCAGAGCTCCGGTTCTGTGTGTGCTACCACTTCACGGTGACAAAAAAGATCCAGTGAGAAAAACTTTGATATATATTTGGTTGTTATTATGGCTGAAACTTCAACATCTAACAGTAACAACAGATCTGAAGAAAGGGATAGAATCAGCACAAAACCCCCTATGTTTGATGAGGAGAAATTTGATTATTGGAAGGACAGGATAGAAAGTTTCTTCCTTGGTTATGATGTTGATTTGTGGGACTTGGTCATAGATGGGTATGTTCATCCCACTGATGGGAATGGTAAGAAAGTAGACAGAAAATCTATGACTGAAGCCCAAAAGAAGGAGTTTAGAAATCACCACAAGGCTAGAATAATCCTGTTAAATGCAATATCTCACACTGAATATGAGAAGATCACAAATAGAGAAACTGCATTTGACATGTTTGAGTCTTTGAAGATGACTCACGAAGGAAACCTTCAAGTTAAAGAGGCCAAGGCTCTGGCGTTAATACAGAAGTATGAAGTGTTCAAGATGGAAGAATCTGAGTCTATAGAAATTATGTTCTCTAGATTCCAGATCCTTACAGCTGGTCTAAAAGTTCTGGATAAAGGCTACTCAACTGCTGATCATGTGAAGAAGATCATCAAAAGCTTGCCTATCAGATGGAGACCTATGGTCACTGCTCTGAAGCTTGCCAAGGATCTGAACAAGATCACTCTGGAGGAGCTAATCAGCTCACTAAGGAGCCATGAATTGAACTTGAGGAAGATGAGCCTCAAAAGAAAGGTAAGTCAATTGCCTTAAAATCTAACAAATATGTTAAAGCTTTGTAGGTGTTAGAAGAAAGCTCTGAAGAATCTTCTTCTGAAGAAGAAGATAAACTGTCATTGTTGTCCAGAAGAATCAACAGACTCTGGAAGCACAAGCAGAGGAAGTTCAAGAACTTCAAAAAGCCAGATCAGCGCAAGGAGTCCTCTGGACCAAAAAGATCTGGAAAGAAGGAAGTTGTTTATTTTGAATGCAAACAACCTGGTCATTACAAAAATGAATGTCCAAAGCTTCAGAAAGAAAAACCCAGAAGAAAGCCTGAGCACAAGAAGAAGGTTCTAATGGCTACATGGGATGACTCTGATGAATCTGGATCCTCATCAGAATCTGAAGATGAATGCGCCAATATGGCTTTGATGGCAGACATTGAAGATCAGAATGAAGAATCATTTGGATCTGAGTATGATTCTGAATCTGACTCAGAAGAGGTACTTTCTGATCTCACTAGGGAAGAGATTATTAAAGTCTTATCAGAAGTCCTGAAAAATTATAATCAGATTAAGCTCAAATACAAGAAGCTTAAATGCAATCTTGGTTCTGAGAATAATCTGTTAAGATCAGAAGTTGCTGAGCTAAAAGAAAATAATTTGAAAATGAAAGCCAATTTTGAAAAAGCTCAACAAAATTATAAATCTGAAAGTAATTCTAAATGCAAAAACATTTTAGAAGAATATGACTTTAGCTTTCAAAAGTTTCTTGCTAAAAGCATAGACAAAAGCAAGATGGCTTCAATGATCTATGGGGTTAGCAGAAACAATAGGAAAGGAGTTGGATATGAATCTTCCTCTGGAAAGGATTTAAATTCAATGCCTGTTGATAAACTTGTTATTAAGAAAACTCCCTTGTAGTCTCATTTCAAGTTTGGTCATTTGAATGACATTAAACACACACGTTCTGATCTAAATGTTCCTGTGTTTAAGGCAAAAGTAAGTCAGAACAAAAATGTTGTAAAAAGACAGAAGTTCAGACCAACTTTCAAGGAAACTAACCAAAAAGGACCCAAAAAGATCTGGGTACCTAAGGATAAGATTATCCCTGTTGCAGATGTTTTTAGTAGAAAAGTTAAGACGCCAGTCATGGTACCTGGACTCTGGCTGCTCACGTCACATGATGGAAGAAAGGTTTATGTTCCAAATCCTGGAGCTTAAATCTGGAGGAGAAGTGAAGTTTGGAGGGAATCATAAGGGCGAGATCATTGGCTCTGGTACTATTGGTAATGGTAACCTTCCCTTTATATCTAATGTTCTTCGTGTAGAAGGATTAAATCATAATCTATTGTCCATAAGTCAATTAAGTGACAATGGTTATGATATAATTTTTAATCAACATTGTTGTAAAGCTGTTAGTCAGAAGGATGGCTCAATCATGTTTAATGGAAAGAGGAAGAACAACATTTACAAAATAAATCTTTCAGAACTTAAGGTTCAACATATTAAATGCCTCTTGTCTGTTAATGATGAGCAATGGGTCTGGCACAGAAGATTGGGGCATATTAATATGAGACGTATATCTCAGATTAATAAACTCAATCTGGTCAGAGGACTTCCTAAGCTGAAGTTCAACTCAGATGCTCTTTGTGAAGCATGTCAAAAAGGAAAATTTTCAAAATCTTCTTTTAAATCAAAAAATGTTGTTTCTACCTCAAGACCATTAGAATTACTTCACATTGATCTGTTTGGATCAGTGAAAACTGCATCCATCAGAGGCAAGAAGTATGAATTAGTCATTATTGATGACTACAGCAGATGGACATGGGT